GCCAACTCAATTTGTAATGGCGCGAACAGTTATGTTTTTAATTATTATATTATTATAGTAATGACTTAAGCTAGACGTCATACGTAATTGGTATCATTTGTGTTTTGATTAAATAGAGCACTTTAATGAATTGCTTGTTTTATTATCGGTTAGCTCACCGCTATGTGCTAATTACCGCTTTAATTAAAAATGGTGTATTTTCTTTTCCAATTATGTTGTAGGTGTGGTTGAATATTGACGCTTTGACCTTATTTACTGATTGGGAACCTTTGAGCAAATCTATTAAAGCTTTGTTTAGTTTCCAAATCAAGATCTGTCCTTAGATTGTACTACTTTTACGCTCTACGCCCTTAGCTATCACCAATAATTAAATTAATATAATTACAGAAATATGTACTGCAATTCGCAATGTTATTGGAACAAATGAATGCTAATGAATACTCGTAGGTGTACTTTAGGTATGTTACCACTTTTGCGGGTTTTAACAACAATAAAAAATGTTTCGTGAATGGTTGATTATAGCATGATTGCCTACCAATTAGAATCATTCACGTTCAAAAATTACAATCAAAGTTTAAACGACCAAAAAGGGCGTCAACTGCTCGTGAACGAACATGAACACACATAAAATAAATGATTTCTAATTTTTAAAATCAAAGTTTTGGCTTTTAAAAATTTACGTAAACACTAGGTATAGGTCACATTATATAACAGACACGCATTTATATTCTGATTTATATAAAATGACAATTAATAGGCATGTGTCCACTAAATTGCTTGGTTTATATTTTCAAATTATAAATAAAGAGACATAGATAAGAAAAAAACAGTCTATTTTTCATAAAAGTCAAAGATTATTAATATTAAAAATAACGAACAAAATAGGCATTAAGTCACGTTGACAGCGAACACCAATCAGAAAGTGTTACGTCACGCCATGCAAAACATCATTTTTGATGTTGACGTTTTCATACAACAGAGCAGGTTACTTCCTATTGTTTTTCGTTTTTAGCATATTTAAACAGTTTTGTTTAGCAGAAAACGTGACGACATTCAAGACGCCATGACACTATTAAGCGTTTTCAAGGAAAACTAAAATTGTTTTTTTTAATACAAAATACGTAATGTAAATATTGCTTTTTCTTTAAAATATAGGTTTTTTGAGATAAATGGATATTAAAGTATTTTAATTAACCAACTTTTCAAATTGAGTCAACTAGCCTATTTTGACAATGCAGCTGACGAGCACAGTGACGTATTTTATATTGACTTTATTTTATTTATTAACTTAAATGTATAACTTGCAATTTAATGAGCTAGATTGCTAGATGCAGCACAAGACTGAGGCGAACTGGTAGACTAGTATTGAATTAGAATTGAATTTCCACGACATAGGAGGCAGAGCAGACGGAGTCAGGTGATGGTAAGACATCTCCCATAGACACCTGAAGTCCAATTCTTGTAATAAAAGTTCGGTTACAATTCAGTTCCGATAAACTCTCGATTTCACAACTTATGGGACTAATCCCACCCACACGCCCACCACTGTAACTCCTGTACACCAGGATTCACAGCAGTGACCCACGAACACACCGAGTTATGACACTCGGGAAGTCCCAGGAAGAAATTAAACTGTCTTGGAACCCGCAACGAAATTAATCAGAAGAAAATTGGAGGAGTTGGAAATACAGTAAATCCACTTCCCTCCTTAGCAAAGCGGGAGACAAAATGAAGTAAAATAGGCATACACCCTTTTAAACAGGGAAGCACCACGGTTCACGATTTCACAACTGTCAAAAAAGGCATGTTCGTAGTAAAGTGTAAATCTAGGGCTCCAGTCAACGTTAGATGTTTAACATACAACGTTGACTGCAGCCCCAGATCTACGATGTTTTCGGACCGGGGCAGAAACTTGATAGTGGCGCCCCTCTCTCTAGCGTTTGAGATTACTCCAGCGTTTGAGACTAATTACTTAAAAAAACTCACAAATATATAAGTTCACTAGTAGTGTCGGCCGGTGTGGCACCTTTTGCTTACAAGTGGACGATGAGCCAACCAGGCTTCCGTATGCTAGGCGCTTTGTGCAGCAAGATTTTTATTCTTAATCATGTTATATTAATTATGCTTTTGGCGCTCCCTGAAACTGACGCCCCTCCTCCCCCCGAAAATTCAATCGGTAATCTGTAAGTCTAAGTAATTCTTTACGAAAGTTCCTTGGAACTGAATTTTGACAGAACTTTTAATACGAGAATTGGCCTTCTGGAACTCAAAGCGATAAGTAAGTACAACCTTGGCGGTTTTTGAGGTGAGAGTGCACTCTACTTTTTGAAGGTTGCATCGGACCTTAAAAGAAGCAATTTAATGAATATCATTTATGCAAAGAATTCAAATGAATTTAAATTTATAACAAGAAACAATTAACATTAGACTTTGTAGGAAACGAATTTTATTATCTGGTTTATCAATTCATTTTAGAAAGTAATATGTCTGTGAAGTGTTAGGGTTATCTACAAAGTCTATGTAAACAACAAATAGTGTGAATTATATGATTCGTATACATATTTACTATTCTTCAGTTGGCATTAGGTGACCCGTGTGCTCGTTCACCCCTCTGTGCCATAAAAAAAGAATGAGCAGAACGAATTGGTACACTGGAGGCGAGGTGATCATGCTTGGCGGGCCGCGGCCCACCGGTTGATGTTGGGCAGTTGTCTATATGCTAATCGGCGAGAGAATACTCATATCACGATACAGGATTAGCAATTCTCATTCAGTAGTTACTCCTTAGTTCGGTGTGTCTTCGTTAGATGGCTCTGTAGTATAATTCTGTTTCTTTGTATGTGGGTGTCGCCACATACCTATATTGTTAGTTATAGGGCGATATCTGCATTAAAATGAGCAAAATAGACTAAACCTCCTAAGTAAATGTTACTTTGAGGAAACTACAGGCATTGAGGGAGAAAAATTACCCATTAATGAGATTATATTAATGAGTCATTTAACATATCTATGTTATGATTGTATCTGCATTAAATATGTCATTTAACACAGATTATACTCAAGGAATACCTACTAATAAAGTAATCTTTTTTATTTATTTCTCATACTTTATTTATAAACGCCTGACGGAAGATTCTTACATGTTCTTTTTCATTACTAGTTTAATATTAATGGCTAAGACGTTATCATGTATAACATGGAATGCTAATACTCGTATATATAATGCTTACTTACACCAAGAAACAGTGAAAGAAAAGAAACAGAAGAAGTAAGTGTTGATATTAAAATGATAGACCTGATTAAACACAAGAAATAATAGGGATGAATATTGATAACACAAAAGTCATGTATAATAGGCAAATACCCTTGAGTCCTGTGGCGGTAAATGGCGTGACTGCCAGGGTTACTGGGGACCGAACACGTTTAACTCGACCAAACCACCAACTCGAGCCGCACAACTTCGATCAGGGAGTCCGAGTGATAGAAGAATAATTCGTCTGGGCTGGACGGCGTACAGGAATCTGCTTCATTTCTTCGAGTCGCCGATCCCGCAATTGTTAAAAACTAACACATTTAACCAGTGGAGCCGAGACTTGGACTGGACGTGACAAAAAATGCATTTAAATTTGATATTTTCAAATTTCGCGCATAACACTTGACGCAGCGGACGGCATTTATATGGTAGTGACGTCAGTTGTCTGTGTGAGCAAATGCGATCAGTTGACAGTTGACACTGACTCTTTTTAGTTTACATAACCGTATGAGGTAATAACATGGGGGCTACTATTTCATGGTGTTTAAAAATAGATAAAAAAACTGAAATCTTTGAATTGAGTTTCAAAATGACAAAGCAGTCATTTTATGAAATTAAATTAACATTCTCCGACTTCTTTTTGCCTAAGCTTACGCAATTTTAGGAATATATTATTTATCAATATCTCATATAAAGTAAAATATCTTATTCTACCAATTCTACTATTCACGATAATAGTGTGTCCATGTCACTGCGTTAATATATATTTTTTTGGTAAGTGAATAATCTCAATAGAGTAAGTATTGTTCCTTGTAATCTCTGAGCAAGGAATCGTTATAGTTTCGTGCGAATTAGAATAGGTACACACACAACATACTAATAACTTGTGTACCTCTTTATTGTACTCCAGAAACATTAAAAATTAAAGTGTGTGGGTCCCAGTGCTGGCACCTCGAGAAATATGCTCACAGAATACTAACTGATTTTTACATAAAACGACTATATAAAGTATAGGTACAGACATCATCGAATCTTTTTAAAAAGTGAAGGGGGCAAACGTGCAAAAGGTTACTTGATGGTAAGCGACTATCGCCAACCATGGCACCTTGAGTGGCTTTGTGTAAAATAATCACTCACTCAGTGAAAAGCATTGGTTTATACAACGGTGACAACTGATATTTCTAATTAAAACCGGGTCATTCGTAAACTGTAGTACCATGTTTAATAATAGTTTAATATAGAACTGTGTTACCATAGGAAAATTGTTTTATTTTGTTTCTATTTAATGAGTTTCATGATTTTGAAATAATTTCTTAAAAAAACACTTGGCAGTAGTAAGCATTACAAAAAATATTCATTTACCTATTCTTATAACTTTATAATGCGAAAAGAAAACTTATAGATTTTCTACCAACGATTTTTTGGTAGTTTAAAGCAAATCGTTGTACGATTTTGCTCTGGCAATTTAATGCTGTCTTTCATTTAATTTTTGTGAAAAAAGCTCGTTGTATCGTATTGAGCGAACTCGAGCATTTTTAGCAGAGCTATTGTTATATTTTGTGATAACTATTCATCTAATCTCATAATTTAGTCGTAAGTTATTAGCTTTTACTAAATTTATCTAATAATCCGAAGTGTAGTAGTTTCGCTAGTGAATTATTGACAGATCGATTCGGCGTTGCGAAGTTGCAGGTTATAATATAAATTGTTTAAATAGGGTTGACTAGTTCTTTGTAAAATCATTAAAATGGAGAGCATGGATGTTGCACAAGAGGGTACATCAGCGGCGACGACGCCAGTAGCTGAAAATGGTGAGAAATGTTTTGTTTTACATGGCCGCTTGGGTTCGCCAAAACGTGCTTCGGTTTTTTTATGGAATTTTATTTTCTTTTGTTGCTTAGGCCCCGATAAGAATGTCGCTGCCGAGGAAATGACTTCTAGGGATTATTATTTCGATTCTTACGCGCATTTTGGTATACACGAGGAGATGCTTAAAGATGAAGTGCGAACCCTCACATACAGGAACGCCATGTACCACAACAAGCATTTGTTCAAGGGAAAAGTAAGTGAATTAATATCTCATTATTTAAAAGGGTTCGAGGTATGAAATATTTATATTATTAGTGTTCAGTGATATATTCCATAATATCATAGTGCTTTTAAATGAAACTTTTGAGAAGTTGAATTAAAAGCCATGTCTGTTATAACCTAGAAAATTCATGTTTGTATATTTAGTGGACACTAAGTCAATGGTAGCAAATTCATATATCTGCTGGACAAATATATATTTATCAAGCCTTTTTGTGTTAATGATGCTGGAATGATGGTAGTAAAATATCAAAATCGGTCAAGCTGTTTGGAAGATTACCCTGGACAAACAGACAGACAAAAGATATTTAAACTGGTTTTTAGGCACAGATATCATGCAAATAACTGTGTGAGCATGAAAAAAAATATTATTTTGACATTACAAACATACACTTTAATTTTATTTATTTGTATAGATAACATCTTGACCACATTTGTACCTGAAGTACTTCAGTTCAGATATGATAGCTAGAAAAAAATTACCTTCTTAACCTCTCTGATGTACCCAAAGGTCAATTATGCCAGTATTACTTGATGTTGACTGATAAGTCTAAGCAAAATAGACCTTTATGACCAACTTGTGCTTTTAAACTCTCATACTTAAAAGCTGTTATTGTGATTAGATTTCAAAGAGCTATTGTAAATAGGAACCTTTAAATGATGAAAGTGATTCATCAAACTGCACTGCACGGATGGCGTAGAGGTTTAAGCGGTTGCCACGCTGCTCACTGAGTGTTGTGGGTCCGATCCCCAAATTGGACGACACTTTGAGTAATCCACAAATTGTTGTTTCGAGTCTGGGTGTTCCTTGTGTCCGTTTCATGTATGTTTGTAAAGTATCCCCGCGACACAGGATATGCTTATTCCTAAGGCGGGAGTTATCTTTTTAAGAAAAAAAAAAATGAATGTCTTTAAAAAGGGCAAACTCAAAATATACTTATTTAAAAAATTAACAAACTCAACAAACTCTAACATCATAGATCAGCATACGCAACAGCAACAATCTGTTTTGTCAAATATTTTGCAAAAGGAAGTTAATCCATTATATGGCTGTGCCGATCTACAACTGCTCGTTTCATCATCATCACACACCAAACCAAGTGAAGATGTATGTTAATAGTTATAGTGTCTATACCATTTTAATATATTTTTTTGCTGGTGCATACAACTTTTTTTTCCTCCATCTCTTAATTATCCATTCATTTTGTGTTATAAATTCCCTAAATTTCGTCCTTTATTTATGTCTATTTTTTAACGGGTTTTTTTCATCAAAATTGGTTTAGGCATGAATGTGTAACAGTTGAAATAACATACACAGCTATAATAAAACTCACCCTAAACAATTACTCCTTTCTTGTCACTAAAGATAGTTCAAATTGGTACCAAAATGTATATCAGAGTATACATATACATATGATACATGTTTTTGTAGTAATTGTTTATAATAAATTTGAAAAGTTACAACTGGCGGACATTTAGTTTCGTTTTCCTTAATGATGAAGCAAACAATAACTAAACATTGGTTTTTAAACTTTTTAAGTTTCTATATTAAGACAATAACTAATCAATAATGCGCATACTAAAAGAAATAAATTATAATTAAAAAAAACATGCTTTTGGATCTAGCTTAACTAAAAAGTAGAAAATAACTTTCTAAAAGTTCAAAAAGAAAAATCATTTTATCATAAAAATGTAAATAAGCAAGCAAGTTGTGTAACTTATGGTTTGCCAGAACTCCTACATATAGGAGTTAAGACCATTAAGTCCACAATCTCTGAGAATATAGCAATACACAGTCAAACGAATGTACTTAATACCTGTGATGAGCGGATTATTTGCCATAATCATAATAATATTTACCTATGAATTCATCTGATAGGTATTACCGTATGTGTAATGAATACTAATAGAAGGGTCAACTTAGCTACTTAGATGAGCAACGCTGGGGCCCGGTATGAAGGAGAGCGGGGTCCTGCCCGCGACGTCTGCTGTGAAACCGACCGGCTTCGCTTGCTAACTGGTACACCTGTTCAGGAGTGTCACATACATCAGTTGTACGAGTTTTGTGCAACACAAGATTACTCACAATATTTTAATTATGTGATTCACTTACAGTATCTATATATTACCATAACGTTTAATTACAATATAGTCAAGACAGTTGTCCAAAAATGATCACAATCTGGGGTAGCTAGGTAAAAATTGTATTTGCCTAATTTAACTACATTTTTATTTATATAGCATCTCGGGTTCCTATCAGCTGTCTCGACTTAAAATTTAAAAAAGTTATAAGTAATATATTATATAGATAATAGTACTACTGTGAGTAAATCAAATAATAAAATTATTGCAAGTAATCTTTATTTATTTATTTATTTTATTTATTCATCTTTATGCACTTTTGTACATCGGCGGACTTAATGCCCAGGGCATTCTCTTCCAGTCAACCTTTGGGTGATGTAGAAATCTTGTCAGGTAGGTGCACAGAGGTTACATCATAATATCAAATGTACAATGAAAATATATACGGTTCACTACATATATAAACATATACACACATACTACACTTACACATCATAAATACGCAAAGATACACATACATATATATACAAGTATATTTATATAGATACATAGACATATCATATTCGTACACTATGAAAACCTGAATTTGAGGTATACTTAACTATGGATTAGACCGTTCTGCCATTTCTTTAACCCTAGAAGCCCAATCTACGTAAAATAGACGTATACCGCGGCGAAATATCTCTTATCTCTTTCACGTTTACCATCGGATCGCTTCGAACTCCCGAACCAACTCAGTAGCCGTCAAGACCTCGCAGGACACGGTTGCGCCATCTTGGTAAGTTCCGCCATTTTGTTGCAATGACGATGTTGCACGTCATTTCGACGTATAATTGGGCTTTGCGTAACTTTTGTAATGGTTTCCACTTTTTTATTGTAGTGATTTATTTGAGTTTATTGTTTAGTTTAGGCACATTACTCATAATATACTATTTATTTTAGGTTGAATACAAGATGGGGTCCCGCCAACATCTAATCCAGGACGAAATAGCTTCAATGTTAGAAAATGATGACGATTATTCTCCGCTGGATTCGGACTCCGAGCAAGAAGATTGTTTAGTTGAAGATGATGATGATGATGAAATTTCGGCAAGCTACAGGGATACAAATGCAATGGAGGTCTGGTCGTTAATTGGAATACTCACTCTGACGGCTGTTATGAAAGATAACCACCTCTCAACTGATGAGTTGTTTGACGCTTCATTCTCTGGCACCCGGTATGTATCGGTAATGAGCCGAGAGAGCCATATTTAACATTCCGTATTTTACGGAATGTTAAATATAGCTTTTGTGAACTCCTATATCATATACTGTCATAATAAGATAAATAAACAAGAAAAACCAATGTGCCGCAAAGATTTTATGAAAAAATTAAGCACAGACTTGACGGCACCTTGGATGCAAAAACGACTGGAGGCGCCCACTTTGAAGAGGACTCTACGTGACAATATAACAAATGTTTTAAAAAATGTGGTACCAGCATCTTCAGAAAATAGTAATGATGAGCCAGAACCAAAGAAACGACGCTATTGCGGATTTTGTTCATATAAAAAAAGGCGGATGACCAAAGCGCAGTGTTGCAAATGCCAAAAGGCCATATGCGGAGAACACAATATTGATATTTGTCAAGACTGTCTATAAAGGCTATTTTTTTTATGAGACTAATATAGTATTATTACAAGTTAATTTAATTTTTGAAAAAAAGTTTAAAACTAGTTGATTGTTGTAAAAATATCCTAATTATAAGAAAAAGAAAAAGTTTTGAAGTTTTGTTGATTTATTTTTTATGATTCAGTAAAAGTACTATTATTGTGTTAATAAAGATTATATTATCCTAAAAAGCATTTTATTTATTAATGAAAACTGTATTTTTAATAAACTCATCCCTTCGATAGATCATAACTAAAAAATTATAGAAAATAGAGCGATTTTATTTTTACACGTTATTTTTACGTATGATTGGGCTTTATAGCCAGTGAAATATGATTGGGCTTCTAGGGTTAAGAAGGAGAGCATGTACCTTCTTTTTGAATATAAAGCGGTTTGTGGACATCCTGATTTCGAGCGGGAGCGCATTCCAGAGTAGTACTGCTTGAACAAAGAACGAAGAGTTCACGAAGTCGGAGTTGTGAGAGGGACATAAGAGAAGCAGATTGTTATCTGAGCGAAGATTTCTGTCATGATTGCTAGACAGGTAACATAAGTAGGGAGCAAGGTAAGTAGGTGAGGACGGTGAATTGAGAAATGCAAATAGAGAGGTAAGTGCACGCTGTTTGCGGCGGAGGCGAATAGGTAACCAGTTTAATTGGGAACGCAAAGCAGACACATGGTCATACTTCTTGTGTTGCACAGAACTCGTGCAACCGATGTACGTGACACTCACGAACGGGAGTACCTGTTAGCAAGCGAAGCCGGCCGGTACTATCGCAGACGTCGCGGGCAGGAGGGGACCCCGCTCTCCTTCATACCGCGCCCCAGACTTGCTCCTCTAAGTAGCTGAGTTGGTCTTAGCGTGATGATATATAGCCTATAGCCTTCCTCGATAAATGGGCTATCTAACACTGAAAGAATTTTTCAAATCGGACCAGTAGTTCCTAAGATTAGCGCGTTCAAACAAACAAACAAACAAACTCTTCAGCTTTATAATATAAGTATAGATATGGTATTACATACTTTTCAATTGTCTAACAGTTCAACCACAATGCAGTGTGATATGATAGGATAGGATAGGTAGATTGAGTTTAAAAACATCATTTCCTAGAGATAATGTAATCTAAATGCAACAATGCTTGTGCCCAAGGTACTAACAATAACAAAAACAAGGTAGATGTAAAACCTTTGAAGTTTCCCGACCTATAAGATTAAGTCTACTCTGTAACTTTTGTAATCTTATTATATAGACATATGTATAGCTAAAAATATTTACAATGTCAAAATATGAACTCAATTTTTTGTAATAGGAAATGGCATTGTATTATAAAGAGTTTAATTATGTTGGGTTCCAAGGTAAACAAGCAAGAAGTAATTTTTACGTCATAGGCCAATTATCAGGTTTTGATGGGCCTGTTGGTCTAGTCACCAGACTGGTCAGAGACCCTGACCGCTAAACCAGAGATTGTAGGTTCGATTCCCAACTAGGATAAATAATTGTTTGATGAGCATGATCATTTTTCTGTCTGCATGTCATGTCATGTAATTTATCTATGATATGTATTCAGAAATATTTAAGTATGTTTGGTCTGGTTACCATATCACAGGCTTTCTAGTTTGCGATCAGACTGCCAACGTGTGAAATTATTATTATTATCATTTTAAAAATTTATGTTGTATAGAGTTTCCACTGTAATTACAAAGTTACTGTATTAGAGATAGGGTATAGTTTGAACTAGCAACCTCCTAGTTTTAATTCCAAACTTTTAACTATTATAATTAAAACTGGCTGATGGCAGCGAATTTGAAAGTGCTGCAGTAGGTTCCATTCCCAGACCGGGCAAAATTTTATAGGGTTTTTCTGAGAGGAAAAGTAGCTTAAGTTACTCCTTATACAGCTACCTGGTAGTAAAATATCAAAATCAGTTCAGCCGTTTTGAAGATTAACCTGCACAATCAGACCGACAAAAAATATTTAAACTGGTTTTAGGCATAGGTATTGTGCAAATAACCGTGTGAGCATGAAAAAACCTATTATTTTGACATTACACACAGACACTTCAATTTTGTTTATTTGTATAGATTAAGAAGTATAATGGGGCCTGTTGGTCCAATAGTTAGTGGTCGTGACTGCTGAGCCATAAATTGTGGGTTTGATTCCCACCCGGGAGAAACAATGTGATGAGTATGACCATTTGTTTCATGTCCAGATGTAATTTATGGGTATTATTAAAAAATCATTTCATGTGGAATCTACTTTTATACAACAAGTTTACCAGCTTACTTCCACAATATGACCACTAACTTTATTAATTATTTTTACAGACAGTTTTAGATATAGGGTGTGGTACAGGCATCCTGTCCATGTTCGCAGCCAAAGCGGGCGCGACCAAAGTCATAGCAGTGGAGTGCTCAAATATCGTCGACTACGCACGAAAGATTATTGAGGCTAACAGGCTCAGCGATGTCATTGAAATTGTTAAAGGAAAGGTAAGATAAGAAAACACATCATTTTTACACTATACATGTCTTTTTCGTTTTTGCTAATGTTTATTGTCGAATGCCTAAAGGATTGAGCAAGTCTTATATCAATAGAGAAAATAGTTCATTCACAATAGGATACACAAAATAGTACCTACACAGCTATTTTTGAAAAGTATCTCAATTAGATTCCATAGTGCTAATAAACCGTTAAAAAAAACTCAATTTTTATTCAGTCGATAAGTGCCATAAAAATACATTTAAATTTTACATTTTCAAATTCTGCAAAAAAATAATTTGTCGATAACGCTGGACGCAGTGGACGCCATATTACTCTTTGTCTTTCATGACGTCAGTCTGCTGTGTAAACAAATGCGCTGATATTATGTATGAAATTGTTTATAATTTAAAATGACTTATTTCTATTTATTGTTCCTGTGCTGTTCCTTAATGCAAAAATACTAGTGTTAAAACACCAAACAAATTGTGGATTCAACTGACACTTTTTAGCTTACACAGCCCTATGACGTAATACCATGGCAGCTACTATTTTGTGAATGCCAAAGTTAACTCAATAGCATTTTTTTTCCATACAAAGCAAAGTACCCTATTGTTATGCATCATTGCAACTCTTTAAACTAATTAGCAAAATGTGTTAGTTCAAACAATACTTTGTTACCATGTAATAAAGGGCAGCGTCTATCCCATCAATAAGCAGTTTGAGTATTAAACACGTGATAAAAATGTAACAAAATAAATTAATGATATCCTGTGTTCCTCATCAGGTTGAAGAAGTAGAGCTTCCTGTGGAGAAAGTGGACATAATCATATCAGAATGGATGGGCTACTGCTTGTTCTACGAGAGCATGCTGGACACAGTTCTGTACGCGAGAGACAAGTGGCTCAAAGAAGATGGCATGCTATTCCCAGACAGGTAAGTTGCGGGTGCTATTCCTGAGGGCAGAGTGCAAGTTTATTTCACTTACTCGCTCTCGACGGCAAGCGCGTTTAGTGTTGCGATTGGTGGAGATTTTAGTGTTGGCCAATCACAACGCCGAACGCGCTTCACCGAGACGATCGAGTTGATGTGAAGTAAACTTACACATTTAAAAAGAAGTCATAAAATGTATATCAGATTTATTGGATCTGATTGGTTCGTAACACAAAGAAATGGTGTATAGCATTTCTGTTACTTTTTGTTTTAAGTGTGTGAGGTTCCTTTCTAAGTGGATGGAGCACTCTAAGGTTGGCAACGCACTGGTGACTGGAGTTGCATTTATGTCTATGAGCGGCGGTAGTCACTTACCATCAGGTGACCCGTCTGCTTGTTTGCTCCCTATACAATAAAAAAAATAGTGTTACTCCATACCGACAGAACTGAAAACTTATATTCAGAGGTGTCGGTAACGGTAACGCTAACCGACACTGTTAGCGTTACCGTTACCTCAATTGTTTTTCCCATGTCAAAAAATGTGTTTTTTGTTAAACCATAAAATACATTATTTTGTTTCATTATGCCCAATGCGCCTCTTGTAAAGAATCACCAACTTGTAAAGTAATAGAACTACACTGTTAAATATTTTTTCACATAAGACAATAGTTAAATGGTCTGGATGTACCATTTAACTATTGTCTTATGTGAAGTAAGACTTTTTTACTAAATTTAATTTCCCCAACAGATGTACATTATTCATCTGTGGCATTGAAGATCGACAGTACAAAGATGAGAAGATCAACTGGTGGGACGATGTGTATGGTTTTGACATGTCTTCCATTAGGAAAGTGGCTATATCTGAACCACTCGTTGATGTTGTGGACGCCAAACAGGTAAATAAATACACATTTGTTTTATAGAATATTAGCTGACCCCGCAAACGTTGTTTTGCCATATGTATATGGCAAAACAACGTTTGCGGGGTCAGGTCAAATTTTTTGTCAAAAAATAATAATTACGTGTATGAAAATTAGATTTTGGCCGATTCTCAGACCTACCCGATATGCACACAAAATTTCACGAAAATCGGTCGAGCCGTTTCGGAGGAGTTAATAGGAGATTAGCTTTAATAGCCTATGTTATTAAAATTAACACTAAATCAAAATATACTCATCAATAACATAATTTTGTTTCCGAATAATAATAATGATTATTATTTGCTGACTACTGGCATGCAAATTGTATAATAATAAGTTTTTTAAATAGGTACATGCATCAACGTAAAATTGGTATATGATTACATTCATTCCAAAAATATTTTAGGTAAAATTAAAATACATAGTTCCAATGCATTCTTATAACACAATTTTATAATACAAACAAAACAATCAGACAATCATGTATTTCAGCATATAAGTAAAATAATTAAATTCATGTAACACCGTTGTACACCTTTGATCAGCAAATAAATAAATTATGAATTATCATTTTATCAGGGCAGACAGAAATAAAATTTCAATATGTCAATCATGTGTAAAAATTGATAATAATAAATAATATAATCATAATCATGTACAAACTAATAACAAGAAAAATAAATAGTTTCTTCTTAGTTATCTTTAGAAATTGCTTTTAAACCTAATATAGCTGTAGGTATTAAACACCATGGGATTTTAATTCCACTTGATTGTTGCCAAGCACGGATCGCTATTTATTGCTATTTTTTTTTGTTTTTACAGGTGGTGACCAATTCTTGTTTACTTAAAGAAATAGACTTATATACAGTTAAAAAAGAAGACCTCAATTTTGAGTCCAAGTTCCATCTTCAGGTAAGAGTGATAAATATTTTTTTATTTATTAGTTAATTAAGATATTTTCATTAGTTAATTATCATCAATCATCTGTTTTATTAATAAAATTAATTGAATATTATCGACGGATGGCGTAGTTGTTTGTGTAACGGACTGCTATTCCAAAGGTAGGTTCAATCCCGCTCAAGTCAAACATGAAATTTTAATGTTTGATTGGATCTGGGTGTTTCTGTGTATAATATGTTTGTATTTACATAAAAAAGTATATATGTATTTATATCAGTTGTCTAGAACCCATAGTACAAGCTCTGCTTAGTTTGGGACTAGATGGTGTTGTGTCAATGTGATACAATATAAAAAAAAAACTCCCCACACATCTTTTAATAAGTGAGAATAGAATAGCAATACAAGTATTTCAGGTAATGAATTTTATGGAAAGTCATGAGAAAAATAAGCAAATGTGTAATATAAAACTGGTATACTTGTCTGTACAGGTGCGACGTAACGACTTCATCCAGGCGCTGGTGACGTTCTTCAACGTGGAGTTCACGAAGTCGCACAAGCGCCTCGGCTTCAGCACCGCACCCGAGGCGCCCTACACGCACTGGAAACAGACCGTCTTCTACTTCGACGACTACATGACTGTGAGCACACCAACCTTCTATCTTATATCACCGAAGGGTTCACTACATAAACAACATTTTTTCTTTGAGTTGTCTTGGCAAGCCTTTGCTACTAATAAAATTTAAAAAAATATTTACGAGGAAATAGTAGGGTAGATGACTGTCAAGTCAAATCAGTGTCTTTTTTTAAAAGTCAAAGCGCTAGATGCGGTACAGTTTTGTATGAGATACTATTTTGTGACGTCATACCTAGTTATTGTCAAATCATTTATATTTAACGTTGATTCCAAGATATCAAATCAATATAAAAATTAAATTGACAATGGAGGACAATCCAGCCTCTACTTTGAGATGTTACGTTTAGGCGAAATAATTTATTTTAAACCTAGGAATCTACCCTGTTGCGGAATTTGAAATTAGAAAATGCGTAAAACATTTTTTTCTATAAGTTATTAGATATTTATACGACTTAAATACAAAACTTCAAGTCACAATACAAAGTACAGGCGTATTTACTCTGCTGACTATAGTTCGTTCGTAGAAATGTAACATTACACTTGCAGGTTTAGGGCACTGCAAGTTGGAGCGTGGTTTAGTTGTTACCTTTTCTTGGATAAAGTTGTCTTTTTGAAGTAAACACTTCTTTAGGCGTGTTGGACATTTTTGAACAACAAAGAAAATAATGTATTTTTTGAGATGGGTAAATACCATTGAACTTGGGACACTGTTACCGTTACCGACACCTCTGTATATAAGTATCAACATAATATTGGCCCCACGAGAGTTAAGTTTGGGTTGAAATTGAATTGAAACATTGATAATATATAATATACATATATAACACATATTGTGTAAATACGTACAACTTAGATATATATTCATGTGGGAACTTTTCGAATCGAACATTTTTTCTGTTATAATTATGAAAAAATTAAATTTTAAAGTTATTACTTCTGCCGGCACTCCCGGCGTCTGCAACCGTTTTTTTTTATTACGCATAGGGGTTAAAGTCACAGACGGGTCGCGTAAGTTAGTACCACTGGCCACGGACAAATGCCAGAATCAGGGGGGGAGGGGTCTACCAGAGCCTAACTCCGGTAACGAATGAGTCTCCCACGGGCTTTTACTTTTATAAGAAATAATTTGCAAACTAGAGCAAAATTGTAGCCCACAGCTGTAAGTAACCTTTGTTTCCAGGTGAAGAAATTCGAAGAGATCACTGGCACATTTTCAATGCGTCAGAACGCGCGGAACAACCGCGATTTGGACTTCGAAATAGAAATCGATTTTAAGGGAGAGCTTTGTCAGGTGAGGGAGAAGAACCACTATCGGATGCGCTGAACTCGCGCCCCGGGCCCCTCTCAGCCCTCACCCAGCCTTCGCAGACACAGCCCGTACAATAAAAAAACCCCTAAATATGAAACTCAACAGTTCTTTTATACTAAATCTTATTGCTTCAATTGTCAAGAAGAGTATGTTGAAATACTATTTGACAGCTAAAATTCGTCTATACCATAAACAATTAGGTATATAAATTACTTCTGCAACAAATCTTAGTGTTGGTATTTAAAAAAAAAACTTTAAACATCAATTAGTTTCGTTAACATAAACATACAAATACACACAGGTTAATAAATAGAATTACAAGTTAATAAGTAGACTTTAACGAAAGAACCGTGTGCAAAAGTATTTTATTAATACTAAATAGTGTAAAAAGGATCTAAACTTTCTTATACAAATATAAACCCAAGTGTATAGTTTTAAGGTTCAGTGTTGGTTATCAGTGTTTCACTTTGATTTATACTTTGAATATCGAATGTCAAGTGTTTGTTCAACGTTATGTTATAATTTTCTTCTCTATTAATTTGTCATTTCTGTAATTCAGTATGTACGCAGTTCTCATCAGTATTGTGATGTGTATAAATGTTATTGGAACATTTCTATGTGTATTTTTTTAAAATAAGAACAGTCAGCAATTGAAATTTACTAAACTTTGTGACTACAACACATTTAATATTTGTTACGTTCTGCGAATGTAACAATTTTTTTTTTCTCAACTCTAGATGAAATCTGATAAAAATATACCAGTATTAGGGCCATGTAAATTTCAATGTGCTAAACGACTTTCGACGCTGACTGTACACCTAAATGGTTAAACCATTATAATATTGTAAATGCACAGGTGATTCAAGTTATTCCCCTCTGTGTAACTTAAATCATTCAAATACGCATCTAAACATGACACTTTGAAGTACATCTGTACTTAACGTTTATAGCTATCTTTGCTAGAAAACAAAACAGTCTTTATTTGTAATACATGTAGTATATTAGAAAGATGTGGTCTTATTTTAGAGCTCACAAAACAAATCGCACTTACAGTGTTAATGCAGGCAAACCTCAGCCAACTGTACTGTGGTACCATTTATTTAAAAGGGGGCAGGCCTATTACTGCTAACAGGACACTTTGGAAACAATCCTAATAGGAAGTGTTGAAGAATGTAAGGAATAGTTGGAGTAGGCTAAGGTTATGTACCTAAAATTTGAATTTGCTTGCCGGAGTATTAGAGTCCTCTGTCTTTTTTGTGTAATTTTTATACTACTACAAACATGTTACCCTGGCTAAGTACGTTTAATAACATGTAGTTATCTGTTTAATATAGTCATTCTAAAATATGCACACACATTTCTGTCCTAAATAGGCTATTTGACTAAGTTTAGAAAATGTTTTAGATTATTTTATACATGATATTGTACATAGTACATTAACATTTCCGGGAAATTAGATCTATTTATATTTAAAAATCGCTTTTAAAGTTTGAATTTCTGAATCCGCGGCAAAAACAAATTTGTCATAGTGTATATTATTCTACTAGTCAAGTTCTTTCATTTGATACCCATCTTGAAGAGAGTTGTGAAAAAATATGTAATCCGCCATTTTGTGGCGGCGGCCATCTTGGACCGATTTTCATCAAACATACGAGTATCTAAGAACACTCCCGAAAACCTTTGAAACAAAACAAAAAAAAACATATCGGTTCATGTGTTCGGGTCCTACGATGCCAGAGACAGACACACAGACACGTCAAACTTATAACATCCCGTCGCTTTTGCGTCGGGGGTTAAAAATACTTATAAAACTAAACTGTTTGTTTCTGTGCCAACGGATCTCAAAAGACGAAAACTGTGGTTACAATTAGCAATAAGCGATAGTTATAACAATACTTTCAGAATCTATTAGATTTATTATTAATATTTTTAGAATTAACTAAAACACTCGAAAAACATAAAAATGCGCACTTAAAATCGGTCGTAGTAATTCACAAATTGAGGTTCGTTTGTTTTGTTCACTTGATGTTTTTTAATCTATGGTTCATTTTTGACTGTCGGTGTCGTCACAGACTAGTGTCCAATTATAGGACGTCCCCATCTGGGATAAAATAAAAAAAAAAGTAAATTTGCTTCAAGAATTTACACTAATAACCAAGCGTGAAATAAAGTAAATTATGCTTTTCTATCCTATTATCTAATAGGATGACCATAATTTGGAGAATATTTTCAATCTTCTCAAATAGCCTATTTTAGGTTCAAATTCTTAGCATAAGGAATATCAAAATGTGATGTAAAATTAGTTTTAATTATAATCACAAGATATATGAAGCTGTAACCATAAAGTATGAGTTGTAGGCGTTCATGGGCGACGGTTATCACTTACCAACAGGTGACCCGTCTTCTCGTATGCCCCATATACCCCTAAAATAATCTATTAGAGAAATATTATTGATGTTTTATAATGAATTATTGAATTTTTAAATTTGAGATAAAACATCAAAATGTACTAAGCGTGCAAACCTGTTCAAATTACTGGACTAGTTTCCAAGGCCAGTGTCCGCGCTAAAAGTCCTGCACAGGCTATTCTACTCCCTAATAATGGCACCAGTTCAGTTAATACTGGTTGGTCTCCAGATAGTGCTTTTTTTTTTAATAAACCAACGTGGGGTCACTTGACAAATTTTGTTGTGCTTTAAAAAGTCGATTCCATTGCTTATTTCTTTTGTGACTTTGAATGTGATTCAAATCCTTCTTTGTAAACAGTATGTTTGTTCATCATAATAACATTCTAATTTTTAAATTGTTATTTTATGTTCAAATATATGTTTTTTTTCCTCGATCTTGACGTAGATGTAATTTGTATGGTATATTAAGCCTTTGTGTATGAAGAGTTTTGTACCGTCGCTTTGTATTGTACATAAGGGCAAGTATAATGTTGTCCGAAGGCTGGTAGTTATTAAACGAATTTTTGTATCAAGAATGTTAAGTGAAGCAACATGGTCGCTGTGTATTTTATAACCTCATTTCCACTCACTTTGTTTAATCTAATTTGTGTATTTTTATTTCTTTTTTCTCAGTGTAAAAAATAAAATGCGATAGGTTTAAGTAAGATTCGATGGTGTTTACTAATTGACATCTCGTTATGAGATAGCTGTTAAGAATATAACAATTAAACTAAATAAGTACTTCAATGTTTGGCGATTAGTATCTATTAAGCTTAACATATACTTGGATTGGTACTTCTAGATACTTGTTCAACGATTTGTTTCGTGTCTTTGTGAAATTACTGCTGGTATTTTTTATTTTTTGACGTGACAACGTCTTATAATTCGATGGAGCTGGCTGCACGCACGAAAAAACATGACGCATGCGGCGTTACCTCGCTCTGAGGCGTTCCATTTAAGGCCTAAAGTGCAAGCGAAAGCGCGGTACGAGCGACAAAGAGGCACAATCGGCCTCCGCGTTCGGCAGCGTTCGACATCTGTCTCTCTCCTACTTGAGTCAGCGATGCGTCCGCGTGGACAGCTGCTATACAATAATACATTTACATTTTTTCGTCAAGTATGAAGCGTAATTAAAATTTTCTTTTGAAAAATGCAACCATTCCATCAGTATTTTCTTATGACGTTGTCACGTTCAACTATCGTCAGTAAACCGACTTTACAGACAACCGATTTTTTAAAATAACCTTAGAAATATTGCACGTACATAATAAGAAAATAGGTCGTTTTAAATGCGTAGACGTATATAATAAAGGTAAGTATATTTTTGATATATTTACGTAATTTTGTGTTATTTTGTTGAGTGACACATAGTAGCTATACAGGAACATTTACGAGACAGCGCTAGTGAGTTATTACTACGGTGAGGAAGACTGTTTAGAAAACAAACTGATGTTTACCAAATTAATTTAGTCATCAATTTATTGTTCTTTACTTTTCCCAACAAATAAAAATTCGTATAGGAAATAAACTGAGAGTCACATCGCTCGCAAATAGTTTTTATAAATGCCTTTATATTAGCAGTATACCATCCTTTTTTAGTTTGAAATATTCAATGTTACAAGTGATATATAAAAGGAATGTTAATATTCACTGACTACTTCAATATCAAGATGTATCAATCCAAGTATAAATCAATCGGATGTAATACCTTTCAGTATTTTTATTTTTATAATAACACTTGAGCAAAGTGAGTGAAAACTGTGACAATTTCTGTGTAACGTTACTTAGGTATCTTAATTTTGTATGACCGCCTAAACGTACCGTTTACCCGCCGGTTGTTTGCGGGGCGAAATATAGAATTTCATGGAAAACCTGTATTGTCAATCATTTTTAGCTTAAGTAGCAGGAATGAACATATCAGCTTCATATAGCTCTCTCTTTCTCTCTCTCCCTATAAAGTTTATGAAGAGTACCATAACGTAAGTTCTAAGTGGCGAGATGGTCCAGCATTCCAATGTAATGTCGGGAACCTGGGTTCGATTTCCGAAACGGATATTATTAATTTTTTACTTCATTAATAATACAAACAATAGAACTACACCCATAGGTAGGTAATCTGTTTCTTTAAATATGAGACATTCCTTTGATATTCTTTTATATTTCTTGTTCATTGTAAGTATCCATGTAGCAACTTATGAAGTTATCCACTAGCTACGAATCGGTAACAAATTCAGTCAAAATAATGTTATAAAACCAAGAGAAAAAAACAAAAACAAAAAAAATACATTCGAATTGAGAACCTCCTCCTTTTTTTGAAGTCGGCTTTCTCTCTAATCAAAATATTTTACAGCAGATCACGATGTTTTCGTCGTGTTTCTTAAAAGACATAGTTCAGAAATTTGTATCGGTATCAGAAGGTTAATACAGTAATACAGTACAGGAAAAAGGTATTCTCTGAATTTTAAACGAAATTTTATTACAAGGATTGACCTTCTGGTCAATAGGAGTGAGCAAGCTTCCTTTTATTATAGGCCATCTGATGTAAGAGGGTACCGTTTGACAGTTCTTAAGTGTCAGCAATGGGAATAATAATTGGTAAAATAGGTCGAACCTTAAACCTAATTTCATGGTACACCTACATACATAATTAAAATAAACAAAATTTCGATTCTTTGGTAAATTTTAACGATTATTCGTATACAAGTGAATTTGAAGAGTCGCAACACCACCGTAAAGTATGAAACGAAGCCTAAAAATTATATTTATTGTATATGTTAGTTATTTTGCTTTGTTTAAAAGATTTACATTTAAATTAAGTCAATAGGAATTGTACAAATTGTGATAAAATAGAAATAGCTTCATAATTCCATGGTTTTACTGAAAAGTTTATGATAATTGTGTGAGTTATGTAGATACAAAGTATTAAACGTCAAACGGTACCTCTTAGATAAGATGGACTATAAACATCTAAGGGAATATTCTCGAGTTATCTATAAATATTACATGAAGTTACCCATCACCACTCATAGTGGAGAAGAGATCTTCACCATACTAAAAAGGAGCTCAAAAGATAGATAGATAGATAACTCTTTATTTGCACACTAAATTACAGAGTTTCAAGAAAGGAACACAACGATCAAATATCGAGTGTACAAAGGGCGGCCTTATTGCTAAATGCAATTTCTTCCAGGCAACCTTAGGATGGATCAAAAGTTCCAGAGAGACAGTAGTAGTTGAATATTTGCATTTGTGAACCTACTATTTGTTTACCATTATCTACCATACATATTACATATACTACACATATCATATTATCTACAAACATTTACAATTTTTATACTTACATCTACAATGCATATCACAATAAATAAACCTACATATATATAAGTACCTACATACTATACCAGCAGATATACATATACACATACATATACATATACGCATTCTTAAGTGAATAAACATATAGAAAAGAGAAACAGTTTCGTTACACCCTCAAGCGTGATGGACTCTTAAGGTGAATAAAATTCCTGTACCATTTTCTTGAATCTATTTAATGTTTGCGCCTGCCTGATGTTAAGCGGCAGTGCATTCCACAAGCGCACAGCTTCAACAGTGAAGGATTGGTCATAAAATTTGGTGGAATGCAGTGGCATCTCCAGTTGTAAACTTACGGATGACCGCAGACATTTTTCGTGTGTGTCATTAAGGAACTTGAATCGTTCTTTGAGGTAGAAAGGGGTTTTGGGATTAAACAAAATGTTGTAAAGGAAAATAAGGATATGAGTATTCCGGCGAGAGCGAATTGGAAGCCACTTGAGCATTTGTAATGTTATTTCGTAAACCAAATACGAATCGTATACACATATTTTGTAGTCGCTCAAGCTTATCGAGTTGTGCTTCAGTGAGATTCAGATAGCTGACATCGGCATAGTCGAGAATTGGGAGAAGTGCTTGTGCAAGCGCAACCCTAGTTGCAGTTGGAAGGAATTTGCGTAGTCTTCGAAGAGAACCGGCTGAAGCAAATATCCTACGACTGACCTCTTGCATCTGTGGACCCCATGACAAAGTGTTGTCTATGTAGATCCCTAAATTTTTTACAGTAGTGCTTATCTCAAGAGTTGTGCCACCGAACTGAATTTGGGGCAGTAGAGTCCAGTTAACTTTTGAGATCAGCCTGGGGCTGCCAATAACACACACCTGTGTCTTCTTAGGATTAATCATAAGTCCATAGTTATAACTCCACTCGCCAATGCGTTGAAGGTCAGCGTTAATTATGTTGAATGCATCCGATAACATGTTAATCGGAGCTTGTGTATATATTTGCAAATCATCTGCATAAAGGTGGTAGAAGGAACTTAGTTGATTAGAGATTGAGTTTATAAAAACAGCGAAGAGTAAAGGAGATAGAACGCCACCCTGCGGTACACCAGCAGAAATACTGCACCAAGACTGTATATAAAGGGTAAAGAGATAGGAAACATGCTTCCTTTCTCACTTGTTTTACCTCTTCCATTTACTAATGGAAGAGGTAAAACGGATGGCTTAGTGTTTTCAGCGGTCGCCACGCCGCTTACAACTACGCGGAGTGTTGTAGGTCCGATCCCCACATGGGACGACACTGCTATCTACAAATTGTTGTTCTAAGTCTGGGTGTTCTTTGTGTCCGTTTCATGTATGTTTGTCAAGTCCCCGCGAAACAGGATATATTCGTAATGCGGGAGTTTTTTTAAAAAAAGAAGAAAGAAGAAGAATCTTCCATTACGTCGCATTACATTTAAAAAATCTACCATTTACGAGATTTAGAGCCATCTCAACCTTAATAGGCAAACAGCCTATCGAGGTCACAGTTACCAGATTTTAGCTCCTGAAATTCTAAATTAAGGGATAGTGATAGGTATGCAATGTAAGATAACATTTACTGTTAAATTAAAACAACTTTTTGATATTCTCTTTATTTACTTTTAATTACTCGTAGTTGTAACCCCCCAAAGGATTTTAAAAGATTTGATGGCAACTGTATGACGTTACGAATCGTGACATTTCGTGGGTGAGCCGAGGTATGTTTCGGCAAAAATAGCCGTTCGACCGGACTTAGACAAAGGTACAACCAACTATACCTACCATGCCTATCCCTAAATATTTTGTAAACAATTCACGAGGTGACACAGACTACGTATTCGAAAACACGTTTATTTTGTAGGTAAGTACATACATTTATAATAAAGATAATTCCTATAAATTTATGCACAGCACTTTTCCCCAGCACTAAGTCGAGTCGTAAATAAATCGACTATTGTGATTTTGAATAAGTGAATAGTGAAAGTAAGATTTTAGAAGAACCGTCTAAGTTACGGTAATTCTGATAACTGGTTTGAAATTTACTAATAAAACAGGATATTGAATATTTATGATTTTCTTTTATTAACTAGGTACGAGTATAACTGATGAGTGAACAATCGATTTAAATAGAAATTAATGGATTTATTTTTATCCTGTTGCATTAAACCAAAAGCAAATGCTGGTTATGCAAAAGCTAAAGCAAATATGGTTACGGCGACATACTTCACAAAGTTAGTTATTATCTAAGTAGGTTTCTAACTAGGTTGTTAATTTACTTCTCACATCCCTATCAATCTTTGCTAATATTATACAATTTTTATTGGTTAATTAAAATGCACATGGTTTTTATATAAACTTAAGAAAGTTTCTCTAAGATTTCTCTATTTCTAACTCAAGGCATAAAGAAAGGATGTCTTAACCAGACTTATCATCACATCACTTAAAAGAACTTTCGTTTTTTTGTCTATATCCGACATCTCTTTATCTATAATTTATGAATCGAAATCGAAATTCGAAATATATGTCTAATGGATATCGTAAACATGCAACCCTATATCGATTTATCGGTTGTAATAAAACAGTCTGAAGATGATTTCCCTAACAGAAATCAGTTAATGGCCGACATTAACTATTGAGTTCAACTGATGGACTCAAATATTTAAGTTTCTATTAAATTCGGTTTAATGCAATCAGATAATTTTCGCAGTTCTTATAAACTACTGTGTTACTTTTTTTCAATGGCCGTGATTAAATGACGTCAGTTGCTTTGATTTGACCGGCGCTCTTTAAAAGATCAACACAGCAGCAATTCGTGATAAGCTGGAGCTCTTGGCAGGAATTCGCGTACAGGAAGTTGCAGTTAGTTTTGCTGCAAGTGAAGGAGTTGTCTGAAAGATAAACGTTAATTTCGTTACTTTCGTTAGTCTACACGCTAGATCTTGGGTATTATAGTTGTTAAATATCGCACACTCAGAATAAAAGTGGTCTAAAGTAAATCGCAATACTTGTATGGAATGTGAGCAAGAAATCGACAAAAAGTCATCAGCAAAAGTGATATACCTGGGCTATATGTTTCTTACTCATTATTTGAACTCTTTTTCCCCACAAGGTCTTAGAGTAGGTTGTTTATAAGAAAACCAGAAGATCCTGGAGTTAGAGTGAGGCCCCTTTAATTCTAAGGGGTATATTATTAAAACATCTCAAACATTGGTGTTTGACTAAATATTGGCCATAAAGGGCTAATAAATATAATAACGACGGATCGGACGGAAACGGACATCTAATACACAACGCCATCTAGTTTCAAACTAAGCAGAGCTTGTACTATGAAAGCTGGATTGACAGATAGATTACTTATATACTTTTTTTTTGTAAATACATACATATTGTATATAGAGAACACCCAAACTACGAAATAAATATTTGCAGACCAAATAAACATTTGGTCCGACCTGTCTAATCGAACTCGAGACCTCAGCACAGCAGTCGCATACGCTTCCACTGCACCACCGAGCCTACAATACCCTACAATACCACGCTGGCCAGACGGGTTGGTATAGGGTTTGTCTCAAGTTTTCCTTCTCTTTGCAATGCTGTTGTCCTACGTAGCTTGCTCCCTTAGTCGCCTCTTACGATACCCACGGGATGAATAGGGGTGGTGACACTCTTTTTTTAGTCAAACACCATGACAATAATCGTGGGATAATCATGCTTCGGCACACATTGGCTGGCTCGACTGGAGTTACAACGCTCTTAAAAATACCCGGTGTTGAGAAATTATTTCATTGCATTTCACCGAATGAGTGAAGTTACCCGAGCCCCGACTGTTCTCGGACAAAGTGTTGCTCCAAGATCGTTAATGCACTTGTGACATTTGAGTTGCAAGAATCTATGGACGGTGGTCACAGTCTACTCGTTTGCCCATAGAGAACAAACGACCATAAAATTTTTTTATGAATGTATGGAACATTTATTTTATCCGTACCAACATTATACAAATACTTATACTGCAATTCTTAGCAGCTTTCCTATAGGATCTACGAAAACGTACTTACGTATGGATACTTAGAAGATATTTAGACGAATTATGTATAACTGTTTCCACTTATGCTTATTCAAGTTAATTCCCAGTCAATAGACAAAAATGAATTACAAAATAATCTATATTTAAAAATGTTAAGTTGGTTTGCACCGAATGAGTTCGTAGTTTGACACGTTGTTTTCATCTATTTTTGGTATTCGTTTTTTTTTTAATTTTTTCATTAATGCAACCATAACCACAGTGGAGCATGGCAGGGTACAAGTAGGTAAGACACTAGGGTAGTATTTAATAAAATAGTATTATAAATACTTACAATCATCATCGCAACAGCACGAATCGTGAGCTTGCTTATACGAACAGTAGCTGTAGACCGAGGAGTCGCAGAGAGGGCATCCGGGATGAGCGCCGGGTGGCCCTGCAGGTCCCTGGTGCCCTGGGTAGTACCCTCCACCGTATCCACCCCCCGGGAAGTATCCTGGTTGTTGTCCATAATTTCCTCCTAATAAAAGATCCACTAAGTCTCTTATGCTGAAACCTGTTGGTGAATGAGCGATGGTAATGATTGTTAGTGATGAACCAATTAATGAATGAATGGGTGAACGAAATGAACCCTTTTAGTTTGTTGCAGTAAATCATGAATATAAAATGAAGTAGCATTAATCACCACGTCATTGCCCCTTTCCCAAATTAATTTTCTTAATTTTTTTATTCTAAATTAGTTTTCTGATTTTAAAGCCATTCAGAACGAATCGTTTTGACATACGTACCTACAATCATACCTACTTATGAGCCCTTTTAAAGAATGTTAAGGTAGGTATTGTCAGATAATCAAATTCATTAAATCATTCGATCACATTCATCAAACGTAAATCCTTGAAAAAATACATCGTTTACATAAAAATAGCTCATAGAGAAATAGGAAGTAGTCATAATATAAAAATAATGCATTGTATTCCATTGATACCTATCTATGTACTGCTAATTATTCTTAATTATGTATCTGTAATCTGTAAATATTTATAGAAACCTTACTAATTCACGAAAAACGACCTTGCGATGTTTCCTCATAGTCTTTAATTAAACTAGGTACGTAATTAACAATTGTATACCGTGAAGTTTCTTAGGAAAATGACATGTTCAGTTTTTTTATGGCAAAAAAACCCAAAGTCATCTCAAACCGCGTCAGTTATTGTCATATTGTAAAGTATAAAATTGTATAAAATTAACTTTTGATAAAAGTACTTATCAACGATTTCTTAATTTATTAAGCTTAGAAGTGGAATATAATTTCGAAAGTCTTTTTTGAAATTGGTCGTAAACATACAAAACAATGAAATGTCGCGACGGATAGACTCCTGCAATGCCGCAGGTTTGATTCATAAAATCAATCATATTGACGGTAGAAAACGTATCTGGAAATATCAAATTTTGTGCCAGAGACCAAAAACTACTTAATGAAAAAAAAAACATAACTTGTATTTGGTATGAGTTCCTTACCAAAACTTACTAAAAGTCAATGCTGTAAGTATCATTAACTTTTTTCGATCACATTCATCAAACGTCAATCCTTGAAAAAATACATCGTTTACATAAAAGAAAAAATAAAAAATAAATTTTTTAAATTAAAATAAAAAATTAAATTTTTAAATTAAAATTAAAAATTAAAATTAAAAATTAAAATTAAAATAATTTTTTTTTTCGTTCTATGAAGAAAAGATATAAACTATGTATTTGAGAGATATTTGATTACATACTCGTACTAATAAGTATTGTACATTTAGGTCATTTTCCGAGATTCGTTTTCGCTATATGGCAATGATATGTTTAAGTCTATGGATGAGCAAATCTAATTTGTGTAATAAGTAGGTGGGTATGTCCTTAGACTCCTTATTTAAAATTATTTCTAAGCAGCTGAATAATTTCTATTGTTACTATTTGACTGCACGGATGGCGTAGTGGTTTAAGCGGTTGCCACGCCGCTTCCAACTACGTCGAGTGTTGTGGGTTCAAACCCCACATGGGACGACACTTTGTGTGATCTACAAATTGTTGTTTTGAGTCTGGGTGTTCTTTGTGTCCGTTTCATGTATGTTTGTAAAGTCCCCCGCGACACAGGATATATTCCTAATGCGGGCGTTGTCTTTTTTAAACTAACTAACTATTTAACGGTTTTTCTGTTCATATGTCTATCACATCGCTCGCTTTAAATGAGAGTGAAATACGAGACTTAATAAAATTATCCCATATTAATGCTATTACTGATTTACATTTGTGGCGTAGAAGACACTCGCCGTACGAGTAAAGTGTATCACAATAAGCTAATCTCATAACCGTAATAAGTGCCGTTACTCACAAAAACTAAACAAACCGCCAACCGGAGTTAAGTTTAAGTTATGCTGATTTGCGTGGCTAAAGGTTGCAATACGGCGGCCTGCATTATATGTATAATGTAAAACCATATAATATGAATAAGTATACGTTAGCTAGGTACCTCTAATGGGGTTAGTACCTCCCCCACGAGCCCAACTGTACTGTAACTCTTGTACACTAGGATCAACAGCCGTGACTCACGAACACACCGAGTTATGACACTCGGGATGTCCTTGAAAAAGTTAAACTGTCCGCAACCCGCAACAAATAATAATGTACACCAGGTAAAAATTTACAGTAATTAACTTAAATCAGGTTATACAAGTATAAATGGTGGCCTTATCGCTCAGAGGCAATCTCTTACATGCAACCGTGAACAAAACAAAATTAATCAAAAGTAAATTGGAGGAGTTTTAAATAAGTATAACATATCCTCTTCCCTCTTTAGCAAATAACACAAAACACATACATATTAAACAGGGCAGCACCATTATGGTTCGGATGCAATAGCATTATGGTTCCTCCTAAGTGAGCTCTGTATAGTTAACTAATACCACGTTTTATTCGAAATATACTTCTAACTATATACCCACACTTGGTACAGTAGTATTATACTATAGAAGTCGAACATTTTGATTAGTATTCTTATGTTAACCCCTCTGTCTCATCAGGACGCTTGTGTTAGATCATTTATAAAAGTAGGAGCCCTTATATTTTAGGCGCAGTATTGCCGTACTGGTTTTAGTCTGGTGGGGTGACGGTCCGAGGGCTTTTCCAGACTCCTAAAAGAATAAGGAGTCACTGGGCAGGGTTCGAACCAGCAGCCACTTATCGCAAATCTGACGCTATAGCCTAGTACCTACGGCTGCTACTTTGTTTATAGCTTTCTGTGTAACAGATTGATTGTAGTCTTCAGAACCTCGAATAAACAACAATAAATTATAATTTACTTCGAATAGTTTACCCGGTAAACCTCGTAGAAAGAAAATAAATTGTAAGTTAAAATAACTAAACGCAATAATAGCAAATCCAATTAAAAAGTAAAACTCTTTTTTACTTTTTAATCTTGTCTCGCTGTCATCCTCCTGGTTCCATCATCAGACCATCGATACTAAACCAAAGCTGTTGAATTATTTAAAGCTTATTATGTGAGCTGAAACACAAGGAGTTTACTAAAAGCGTGAAGACCCTAGCCTAATAAACTAAGGATTTCCTTTATTCAGCTCCTTGCTGTAACTTATTCACTTAAAAAAACATAAATGCCTCTTTTGTGATAGCCTAATGATAACATCTATAAAATCGCACTCATTAAATTAATGGTTAACGTACCATAACCGATATTATTATATGTTCATGATTCCATCTGACGGGTTAATGGTTCACATGGGTTTCGTTGAATATTACAAACTGTAATGATTATAACCTATCAAAAGCTAATGATAGGTTAATGATTCATGTAGGAAGTATTGTATTGACAGTCCTAATCATATTGCGAAATAAATATAATGTTTAAATGCACCATTTAAATGATGTATGCTGATATTCATGATTTTGTTATGTGTTAATGATTCATAACATGTTAATGATTCACATTGTGATGATTGACCTTTATAACTTAAACTGATTCTGACTTGTTTCACTCACCACCTAGTTGTTTGCCGTATGAGTTTCGGCTCAGATCGTAATTTGTTGGCAGAACTTGAACACCTATTGATTTAAACGATTTTATAATTTTTATAATATTTATTCACAGGTTTTCTGGCACCAAAACAGATTCTTTTCAAAGGAAAGATTAATTAAGCATTCACAATCTTCAAATATAAAAATACATATATATATTTTTTTATTGAAATAAAAAAATATTTCGTTCAAAATTAAGTTACGTTAATTTAATAAGTATAGATATATTATACATACATTTAAAAAGAAACATATTTAGTCTATTTCTATTATTCTTTATAGTCTATTTATTTAATTGTAGAGAAATACATATTCCGAAGATGTTGATGTAGATTTATTGCTATATTTTTTTAAATTTGGGTTACAAATATGTGTCAGTATTTATAGGTCAATTTTGGGTGATTGTGACAAAAGAAAAAGCAAATCTATCTTCTCATTAAAATCGTTGGATTAAAAACTTTTTGCTTAGTTATTAATTAAGCGACTGTCAAGGAAGGTTTATGTTTTGCACGAGTATCTGGTATGTTTGTTTGTAAATTTCTTTATTACCTCATATCTTCGAAACGGCTGAATGGATTTCAACAGTTAAGGTATTGTTTTATTCGTCTCAAAAACCCAAGTGTCCTTAGATGACTTTTGAAAGAAAAAATAAAATGTTGGATTTTTGGCGCAAAATAGTAAAAGGTTAATAAAAAAAATAACCAAACCTATAGAGAAAGGGTATCAAAATTAAGAAAAGGTTCCACAAATATATATATAATACATATTTAAATTTAATAAGAAATAATAAATTGGTTTTAAAAGTTTTCGATATCGAAAAAATGGGCCATGTTTGTGTTGGACCTCGTGCTAATTCGGACTTTTTTGTGTATTACTTTTATAACAATAATTATAAATTGTCTTTTTGCATGCGGGTTTTTGATTTTTTAAGTTATGTAGACCTGTTATTTGACCTGATAAAACTTGACACTACGGATTTATCCTAATGTATATTTTTGCAAATACTATGTAATTAATAACTTCCATTTGTTATTTAACTGTTAAATGAAATAAATATTGCTTAGAAAATAAACGTACCTTATTAAAATTTAGATTTAAACAAGTACTTTATATATTTTTATCGGTTTTGTAATTTTTGCTACACACCACAATAATATATTTTATATACAAAAACGCAAAATAAAATTGAAATTGGAAATAAAAATATACTTTTAAAATATTTTGCAAAAAAATAGACAAATTCAAACTCACCTTCACTGCTTACAAACATGGCCGCCAAAAATACCAAACAGATTTTCTTGAACATTTTGCTTTTGAACCTTAGTATTGCTAATATTAATATACAATGTTCACAATATGTGTTTGTGCATGTAACACACTGGCGTCTTCTAAGAGGTCTATGTTAATAATAAAACAAGTCACTTTAGACTGGCCAGCTGGTATTGCCGGTGCAGTCGCGTTCACAAGTGTTAAGTGAAAAAACTAGATGCGCGTTTTTATGCTTAATATACGGACAATAACGTAATAATTATTTAGGGTCATTCCAACAATGTAGCCTTGTAAATGGGTAAACAACATTAACTTTAACAAAAAGTGTTAACGACTGTATGATAAATTTAATTGAAAACTTAAAATAATCCCTATACCAACCCGTCTGGCAAGAGTGGTATAGTAGGCTAAAACCTCTTTTCCATGAAGAGGCCTATGACTAGCAGAGAACTATTAAATACTATTGATGTGTAATAATTTACGATAAGAGAGAAAAGAGAGCTGATTTGTAATGCAGTTGCTACTAACTGCTGATGCTGGTGATAGTTGTTAATATATTTTTTAATTTCGTTGTCATTTAGGCACTACTTTTTATTAAATGGGTATACTGTGTGAGGAGTAGAACGTTATTAGGGTTCCATACCTCAAAAAAAAAACGAAACCCCTTGAAGCTTAAAAAAAATCAAACTTCTACGTTAAGGCAAAAAAATACACGGCCCTTTATTCTGCAATAAACGTATATTTCGACACTAGGGAATCAAAATTTATAGGTACTTTCCCTTGATCCAGAACTATGAAATTTACAAGTAAAATCGTCTTATTCTACAAGTAGAGAAAAGAACAGAAACCTATACATTTGTAAATAAATCATAAAAAATATGATTGTATAAGGTTCGTAATAAATCATCGAGGTATAATTTCACTTATAAAACACTATAATATAAGTATTTATAGGTTTTGAAAACTGAATTTCGGGACTCGATTTCTGAACTATTTATAACATGTACCTTTTCAATTTGTAATTTGTACGGAACCCTCGGTGAGAGAGTCCGACCCGTACTTGTGCGGATTTTTTTTCTTTCTCTAAGATTTATTCTATTTTATCTAAGTGGCGTGCAATGGGAGGGGCCTATGTCCCGCAGTGGACTGCGAAAGACTGATGATGATGATTATTTTTTGAAAAAAGACAAGTCTCGCACTAAGAATACAGCCTGTGTCTTTGGAGACTATACACACATTTGTAAAGTTGACACAAAGAACACCCAGACTTGGAACAATAATTTGTGGATCGCACAAAGTATTGTCCCATGTGAGGATCGAATCCATAACACTCAGCGCAGTATTAAATGGCGAGGTGACCGCTTAAACCACAACGAAATCCATAATTTTTACTTTGTATTTTCCACTTTATTCTGACAATTGAAGAAATATATCAGAAACTAGCTAACCCGCCGCTACGTCTGCTTCTCTCAAAAGGAACAAATTTTTCCCATTTTTGCAATATTTTTTACTAATGCTCCGCTCGTAATTATCGCAGCCAGATCCTCTGTACATGCCTTCCTCCATAACTGGGCTATTAAACACTAGACTATTTTTTTAATACGAACCAGTAGTTCCTGATTATCGCGTTCAACCAAACAAATAAACACTTCAACTTAATACGTAGACAGCCGGATGGCATAGTGGTTTGAGTAACGAACTGCTTCGCTAAATGTTCAATCCCCGCTCAAGTCAAACAGTAGTGTGCATGAACATGTGGAGGAACGGGTGTCATCATGTCCCTCCAACACAAAGGGAGGATCCTCCGACCAGGCGAGGTGATCATGCCTGGCGGACCGCGGCCCAACGGTTGATGTTGAGCGGTTGTATATATGCTAATCGGCGAGGGAATTCTTTATATCGCGATACAGGATTAGCAAGTATTATTTAGTAGTTACTCCGTAGTTCGGTGTGTCTTCATTAGATGGCGCTGTAGTATGTTTCTGTTTCTTTGTATGTGGGAGTCGCCACAAACATTTTATGTTTGATTTGGTCTGGGTGTTTCTATGCATATATCAACATTGTGCTATATATCAGTTGTATATACCCATAGTAAAAGCTCTGCTAAGTGGAACTAGATGGCGTTGTGTGAATGTAGTAGAATATTATATATTTAATTATTACATTAAACTATTAATATACTATGTATCTGAAACATTAAACTATTACAACCTTAAAATAACATTAAAATATTAAACTATGTATCTACAGACACTATGTCACAAATGTCAGATCAAAGACATATGCCGCCGAGTGTACACCATCTAGTGCATAATTTGCTCGATGCAAAGGGTTAACGCGGTCGTCCTTAACATCTAACTGCCATTCTCTACCGATTATTTAACTAGTAGTAATTATGTCCCCAAGTCTATGCGGTGATATTACAGGAAACGTAATCAGGTTATAGGTAATATGACTCGGTATAAATCGAGACCTCGACAATCCCTTTCGAAACTTAGATCAATATTTGATCATCATCATCAACAGCCCTTTATAGTCCACTGCTGGACATAGGTCTATCCTTAGAAAGGATGTACTGGCCTACTACTACTGCCAAACGGGTTGGTATAGGGTTTTGTGTAAAGTTGTCCTTCTCTTTGCATCATCATCATCATCATCATCAACAGCCTCTACTAGTCCACTGCTGGACATAGTATACTATACCACACTGGCCAAAGGGTTTGGTACAGGGTTTGTGTAAAGTTTTCCTTCTCTTTGCAGTGCTGTTGTTCTGCGTAGTCTGTTCCTTAATCGACTCTTACGACACCAACGGAGGAGATGGATAAGAGATAGATATAAGAGGATGTGTATATAATCTCAAAAGAAATACTAAACTGGTGTAGTAGCTTTTATAATCTAATTTAATTTACAATAGTATAAGAGAGAAGGAGAACCAAAACTGGTTTTTAGGTAAAACAAAATTTATTTTTATCAGGTCAACTTTGTCAATGACATATCAACAGAAAAGAAAATCGAATCAATCGTCGATCGAAAATCCATTAATAAAAAGGAGAATAATGTACTGAAAAATATTGTGCCTTTTTATGTAAATTTACGACTGATGTCCTAATTTTTACTATAATTTGTTAAGTTTTTTTTTTTTTTCTTATCGGTAACTTGAAGTCTATTTATAGGGATTTAGTTTTTATCTGACATAGTACGTATGACAGGTAATTACTTTTAAAATTTAAAAGAAAAAAAACCCCGACAGTTTGCATTTGACAGTTTGTATTCTACTAGTGAAGCTCTTTCATTTGATACCTGTATTAAGGGGGTTTTGAAAAAATACGTAAACCACCATTTTGTGGCGGCGGCCATCTTGGACCGATTCTCATCAAACAAAGCTAACAACACTCCCGACTAATTCACCTTCCAAACAAAAAAATCAAAATCAAAATCAGTTCTTCGACACACACACACAAACACACACACACACACAAACACACACACAGATACACGTCAAACTTAAAACAACCCGTCGTTTGTGCGTCGGGGGTTAAAAACATACTGGACACGTGTCACTTAATGCAGCCTTTTTTTATTTTTTGTGTCGCATGTTGTTTAACAAAATATTTCTCTGCACTTCTTCTATTATGTATGTACATATGTATATTCATCCCCATTGCTTAAAAGGGATGTACAGAATGCTCTTCACATCAAAATACGAAATATAAATCTCGCCTCAAGAACGTCAAAACTTCAACTTTTATATTAAGGCTTAAAAATAAATGTATACTGAGCTCATTCATTATCAATTTATGACTTATTTTTGCTAATGTTGACAGGCCTGTAGGTTATGTGGTTTGTGACCCTAAATGCTAGAGCTCGTGAGTTTGATTCCCACCCAGGACAAATAATTGTGTGTGAGCACGATCATTTTTTTCGTATATATGTATATATATTTGTATAATTTATATATTAAATGTATATATCTATACCAAAAAAAAATGTAAGTGTATAATATGTGATGAAATAATATGTGTGAATAGATTGTTTCATGTTCACACGGTATTTGCAAGATGCCTAAAAACCAGTTTTATTTGTTCTTTCTTTGTCTGTTTGTTCCGGGTAATCTTCTAAACGGCTGTACCGATTTTGATAATATTTTACTACAAGGTAGCTGTCTATATAAGAAGTAACTTCGGATATCCTCTCAGAAAAAAACCCTTTATAATTTTTTCCGGCCGGGAATCGAACCTACCAAAGTCAGTGCTTTTCAAATTCCACGCGAACGAAGTCGCGGGTACCAGCTAGTTTAGAAATATATAAGTACGTTTATCAGCAGCCTGGTCACAATAGTATAGGCTCTGCCTAGTTTGGGATCATACCGCCGTGTGTGGAATGTGAGAATGTATTATTGTTTTTAATATTCTCTTCCGTGTGACGATTAAGAATACAGAGTGTCACCACCCCTATACATCCCGTGGGTGTCGTAACAGGCGACTAAGGGAACAAACTACGCAGTACAACAGCACTGCAGAGAGAAGGAAAACTTGACACAAACCCTATACCAACCCGTCTGGCCAGCGTGGTATAGTAGGCCAAGACCTCCTTTCTAAGGAGAGGCCTTTGTCCAGCAGTGGACTAGTAGAGGCTGTTGATGATGATGATGCTCTTAAATCATTTCCCTAGTGTTACAATATCCAAAGATATATAGTTAGTAATGATATTCCAATAATCAATATTCCAATAATAAATTATGTAACATCCTCGTATACCATGTTTATCACAAATAAAAATATTATTATTATTCTCTTGATTTATTTTACATACATAAAACATTACATTACATTCAGTACATTTCTGATGATTCATAGAAAAAATATATATTTAAAAATATAAAAAATACTGTCCTATCGGTGTCGGGTGCAGGGCCCAAGATTTTGGTTAGGACAAACAGTATTTCTCGTGAGGAGGTTTTTGTCTTTGGAAGACAAAAACCTCCTCACGAGAAATACTGCATTCTGCATAAGGCCCTTAATCCAGCATCTTTACGCG